ATAATGAACAGTATGTCAGTGGAAGTGCTACAAGAGATCCATCCAAATCTGTTCCACTCGTTAAGTCTCATAAATAGTATCATATATACTGTATATCCGAGAGATATACACAAAACAAAGATTATATTATAAACCAAATCTCACACTAGGAATAGATGAATGAGCTTTTATGACCATTCATATCATTAATCATTTAGCGATTTATATATTATTTATCTGTTTGTCGGCACACATTCCCAGAGAGAGAGAGAGAGAGAGAGAGAGAGAGAGAGATCACACAAACCAAGAAATACAATCAATTATTTACGAAAATTTTATTTTTTACTTTTCTCGAGCTTACGATTTAAAAAGTAATTCTCGGAAAACTTACTCGTTTTATACCCGCAAAACAAATTTTAATATTATAATTGAAAAACAAAACCTCAAATACAGTACCTATTGTGTACACAATGCTTGCCAGTATTGTTTGCTATAAAATCACTTTTGTTTGTTTTGTGACTTTTAAAAGAGTAAATAGAAAACCGTCTGGTAGCCTGTCTTGCCTACTCCTGGACCTTCACTATATGTTCTTCAATTTCAGGTATTTTGATAAAGCTGCTTAGGTAGGTAGTTAACACGTTGTCAATACAAACGTCTCATATGTCGAGCATTTAGATAAAGGCGTTGTCCGTAGGTTTCATATCTTAATCATATATCTCATATCACACTCACTTACATTACACAAAAAAACATTTAATGTCAACAGCAAAAAACAAACACTAAAAATCTGAGAATCACCAGAATATTCTGGATATTACAGTATATACCCTGTAATGTTACATCTAAACGGGGCGTTTACAGCCATTCAGAAGTATGTTTTGTGTTTAATATAAAGATTCAAAAAACAACAAAAAGTAAAAAACTAACACAAAAAGTTTGTAAGCTTTGTTAAAAATATTGATTTTTTGCTTGAACAAATACTATGATAAAATATAAAATAGTATTAGTCTTTTGTTTTCCGATAACACCTAAAGACACGATGTCTGTGCAGATAATATTTCTCATTTATCTTTTGGCAGACCATCGGACAGAACGGATGAGGACCTGGAAGTGATATACAAGAAGTTAAAGTCCATAAAACTATTTCGACGAATCCATCCATCAATTGTGCAACAGTTATGTTTTGTCTCATATGTCGAGCATTTAGATAAAGGCGTTGTCCGTAGGTTTCATATCTTAATCATATACCTCATATCACTCGACCAAACACTCACTTACATTACAAAAAAAACATTTTATGTCAACAGCAAAAAACAAACATTAAAAATCTGAGAATCACCAGAATATTCTGGATATTACAATATATACCCTGTTATGTTACATCTAAACGGGGCGTTTACAGCCAATCAGAAGTGTGTTTTGTGTTTAATATAAAGATTCAAAAAACAACAAAAAGTAAAAAACTAACACAAAAAAAGTTTGTAAGCTTTGTTAAAAATATTGATTTTTTGCTTGAACAAATACTATGATAAAATATAAAATAGTATTAGTCTTTTGTTTTCCGATAACACCTAAAGACACGATGTCTGTGCAGATAATCCCTTTCCTATATTTCACTGTCAGACTAGGGATATGGCAATTATTTCTCACAAAACACAGACATAAACAACTTTCTTTTTGGATATTTTAATTAAAACTAGCGTAATTACTATAAGTTATATAGCCTATAACATTTGCCTCATTAACTTTTCAAAAACACTTGAAAAATATTTTGAAATATTTCATTCAAACTATTAGTACAGTATATTTACTATCGATGGTTAATTAGCGTAATTATCGGGAATAAGTTATGAAAAATACATATTTCCAATGAAATGCCGGCTCATTATAATTGATGTCTAAACAATACAAACATTATTATTATAAATATAGCGAAAAATATTATTTATTATTATTATATACGGAGAGAGAGAGAGAGAGAGAGAGAGCGAGAGAGAGAAGTAGTGCCCTAACGGTGCCATTAATAGACTGTTCAGAAAAGTGATCCAAAATGTCATTTTCAATAAGAAATATCTTTTGTTATGCAATAAAAGCGATACATATCTCGTATTTATATATTTTCGTAGTCCTTAGGCTTTTATAAATCATAAGACATTTCTTTAAAAAACATAAAAAGAGAGTAAATAATAAGTTAGTCCAATCTCTCTCTCTCTCTCTTTCTTTCTCTCTCTCTCTCTCTCTCTCTCTCACTCTCTCTCTCTCAAAAAGTTTTATTTAAACTTTAAATTTTAAAGTATCCATCCTTTTATTTTATTGAAACCAATTTAATGTTATAGTTATAACTAATATGTTTTGTGCTTTAGATATGATTATCATTTCAATTAAAAATTCAAATTCACTAGAAATTGTTAATCATTCATAGAAACATGGAAAACACTTAAACATACAAATAATATAGCCACTTAACATTTATTTAGAAACTCTCGAAAATAAATACGATATTTAAATGCACTCAAAATAACAATTCAAATAAAATTACACTTGAAAACCATTTAAACCTCTACCATTGAAAAAACGTACTTACACTAAAAATAACTCAATATTTAAAATCATATAAATACAGTTATAATTTAATGCTACATTCTTGAACCCATTACCTCCCTGTCCATAGTGTACAAGGAAGGGGATGAGGCGCTGAACTGGTATGCAGTTATATTCGGCTCACTGGACGTCCAGGTGTCCAACACAGACAAAGTCAATGTAAGCAAAAACTTTTTAATCACTTTCATGTCTCGCAATGAATGAATTGAGTAATAGTAAGGAGTAGTAGTGAAAAGGACAGGTGGCTTACAGTATCTGTCTAACATGTTATGTCAAAACAAATGTCTCATTCATTTACCGCACAGGTATGTGTCTAATAGTAAAACTGATAGTAAATGTGGTTTGCCTTCCGTTGCGGAGTTCAATGCCATCGATGGTAACCATAATTATATCAAATATGCGGTTATTTATAGTAAATACGATGTGAACAGTAAGGGAAGGGCTGTTATGCGAACCTGACTATCGATTTAAATATTTATTAAATTATTTTTATTATATAGTGTACGAGTGCTTACTATTAATCAAATTGTAGTTTTCCGACACCTACCTGTCCATCAGTATTAGTAAAATTATGTTTGAATGACATGTCAGTCAATAACTCCATGACCCGACTGTCTATCCCCTATTTGTCTCACATAATAATTATTATAAAATTATGTATTTATTATATTAATTAAGTTTTTGTGACATAATTCCGTAATCGGATTAACAGTGTATTTTGTACTCGTATTTAAAATATTACTTAATTTCTACAAAACAAAAATGCTTTCAAATCTGTATATGCAGTAAATGTATGTGTAATTAAATACTGTATTAAACGGGTATTAAATAGCATTTTCTGTATTGATTCAATTGTCTGTGTTTTCAAAAAATACAATGAAATTCACTTCACTTTTGTCTGTGGTTTTAATTGCAAATTCGTGTCTAAACTAAATGTGTGTTTCAAGATATTTTTCTGTTGACTTTGAATTTTTTGAAAAAGTATTTTTAGAGCTAATATTATGCAGTCGTTTTGTTAGCCTATTATTCAAAAGGTTGTGTAAATAGCTTTTTAGTATTTATTCTTTATTTGTGTTTTGGTTTTAATGAACTTTTCGGTGATTTTTAATTGAGCCGTGTTTTTGACAAATATCTACTGAACTTTAAAATAGACCAAGAACACATTTCAATGAACAGCTAATTTGTATTGCTTTTACGTTATTAACAGCTTATTATTATTAATTTCTTTAATTTATTCATTCATAGCATGCTACATACATAGAAAATAAAATAGTATAAATAAATATCAGAGCTAATATTAATTATTATATTTATTACATATTTATTATATTTATATTTATATTTAAATATCAATATAAAATATAACAAGTCTCTCTCTCTCCCTCTCTCTCTCTCCCTCTCTCTCTCCCTCTCTCCCTCTCTCTCTCATACAATTTATCTTAATTTGTAGCATTTACACAGATTTTTGACGATTTATTTGTTATGAATTAGATTGATCCAATTTTTATATTTATTAAAAACTAAGTTCACACCTGTTTGCTAAACAAATAAGATAGCATTGCGTTCACTAAAAAATAATATATTATTCCAATAAAATTGATACTAAGTTTGCAAACATTAGTATTATGCGGAAAACGTTATAATAAAAATTATATTTTAATAATAAAGTCCAATTTTCTAATTTATATTATTAATGCATTTGTAAATAAAGCATACGAAGTATTAAAATGATTTTCAATTAAATATTTCTACTCAAATGTCTTAAGAATTAATATAAAATCTTCATATAATTTGTTTCAAGGATTTTTTCATTAAGTAAATTATAATTAACAAATAAAATGTATTAATATTAAAAATATACTATTAATGGAAATCTTAGCACAGAATCCGTACGATTGCTACACATATAGTCAATAAGTAATTCACAAGTAATAATTACTTTTTGCACAGCACTGGGAGGTTTTGCCTCAATTCCCAAACACTAATGTATTAATAAATGTATTAAATATTAATACTTTCATAATTACTACACAAAAAAATTGTTATTAAAATGTGTAACTTTGTATTTTATTTGACACATAACTGTGAATCGATTTTTATTATAGAGTACTAGTAATAGTATAAAATGTTTATATTTTCTAATTGTTATAGACATTTGCCCTCAGGTTATATAACTCAGCATTTATGGCTAAAAAATTTAGTATAAAAATTAAATGCCTGTATAATTTTTAATCATTTTGTTTAATTTATTATGTCTGTGCTAAGGGATTGAGTTACATATTATTTACACTAATCTCTCTCTCTCTCTCTCTCTCTCTCTCTCACTCACTCACTCTCTCACTCACTCGCATTCACTCTAATCCCTAATCGACACAATTATTATTAAACAAACTTTAATTATATGAATGCAAATAAACGCATATCTATGTTACAATTATCATATACAATAGTAATACAAAACCAATGAATTCAATACCAAATACAAGTGTATCATAATGTGATCAGTGATGACAGAATATATTTGTTTATCAAATGAATTGTTACTAAAAAATTACTATTTATATATTTTTAGTAGCAGTATATTTTTGAATAATTTAAATATTTGCTTTTAATATTAAACTATCAAACCGTTAACAATATATTTTTACCATAAACAGTATTACTTTGCGATTAGTGGCTAGTGGTATAATTAAAATTATGTGCCTGGTTATTTTTAATCACTGACTCACACACACACAACATTGTGATTATGATAATGTGACTGAAAGTCTCGGAGTATAATGGGCTAAAAGACTGGTTTACTTGTGATCCATGGCTATCATCGCAATCTCTTTGATCGCATTATGGGATTCTCACGCATAATATCCTCTCATTTAAAAATCTATTGTGAATTCTGGCAGATGTTTGAAAAACTATAAGGCTTTATGTGGTGAAACACCAGACAAAAACACACAAATGGTTGCATCCAGTACATTTCCAGCGCTTATTAAATGTATTATAAATTGTATTTTCGATATAGATAGCATTAATAGACAGGTACTTGATATATAAACATGTGAGTGCGGTGTGTCACTGTATTTAAGTGTGTGTATATGATATACAACATACACACCCCTATGTATATCATTAATATATCAAAACTTCAAAATAATTTTAATTTATATATTGAATTACAACATATAGTGTTTATTTGAATGTATTATTTATATGGTGTGCACTCGAAAAAGATTTACACTAGAAATATCATTAGTTATCAATTAATTTTTGTATAAACACTAGTGTTTGTGATAAAATAAATAATTTTATTTAATAAAGGTTTTGAGAAATTCTGTGCCAATTCTGGTGTTCAACTGATTTACTTAATATACATGAGAAGTATATTCGCGTAAAACGTTTCCGGAATAAAAATATTCATAAATTCTTTGGTATAGAAAAGTGAATATTCTTTAAATTACATGAAATGTATAATTAATGGACTTTTCATTAGAGAATCAGTGCATTAAATATATTAAAAACCAAAAATAAAGTTTTGTTTTTAATTAATGTTCATAAATGTCTGCAAAGATTGTCGCATAAGTATTTAATCAGTGTTCAGTTTACTATACTTATAGCAATATTAATGATGTTTTAGTTTGTTTTTGACTTTTTTATTGTAAACTGTATTTTGTTTCAAAAACAAAACTTTCGCTACAAATCTACCTCAAGATATCACTTATCATTAATACAATGGATAACACATTATATGCGAAACTGTTATACTTTTTGCCACTAATTCACAACAATTGTGTTACAAATAAATCGAGAATTTGTTTGTTAATGAATGGATAAATATATTTATGTATTTTGATAACTTCATTGTGTTTTTACTGGTTATATATGATTTGTCTCCACATTACTTCACAGTTATTATACAAATTTTCCGCACATTTTATACTCAATTAATTTGATTAAAAAACACCAAAAAATATTATAATTAATGTTTAATCGTCGACGCGTTTACACTATTGAACAAAAGGTGATATAAATTATCGTATAATTTCGCTATACTATGGTATCATTTATCATAAATTATTTAAATGACTCATAATTTTGATAAAACAATCAAAAAAGTTTTCATAATTTTATAACAAATCTCTCTCTCTCTCTCTCTCTCCCACTCACTCACTATAAAGAGATTTTATTGTATTAGTATTTGATATATTAAAAAATTTTTCATTTAAATTGATTACAGAAAAAGATTTGTCTTTACATTAGAGATAAATATATAATAATATTTTCCACAAAAAAGTCATTTGAATTTCAAATTAAAATGTTAATATATTTTATTAATATGACATTTTTTCACTCACATCTAAATTCTTATTAGAGTTTGAGTGCAATTAATGAAATATCAAATAGATCTCTCTCTCTCTCTCTCTCTCTCTCTCTCTGCATATTAAAAGTGATTTTATTTCTACGCGAGACTTAAACCAAAAATAATTTCATATATCAAATGCATATTATATTAAAATATATTTTATTTTGTGAATCCATTTCCCGGAGTTTATTCTCGATGTAACGCTCCATTAATCGCTGCAATGGATTCTTACCATTAGATTAGGACTCGGAATGAGAATTTCAAATAAAAATTCAAAAACTAATTTCACTTTTAAAAGAGTATGCAATGAATACTGACGAGAGAGAGAGAGAGAGAGAGAGAGAGACTTTTTAATACACTTGAGAGAGCACTGTTATGTTACGAATCGGTTTAATAAAATTGATTTTAATATATTTTTTTCTATAAACGAATAATTGGTTTTTCAAATATAATAATAAGTTTAAAAGTTCTTAAATCTCTTATCATTAAAAATTACTTTATATTAAAATTGTTATCCCAAAAGATTTATATGTTATTTATGCTCAGTGCACAATTAAATAGATATCACGAGTACTTAATATACTTAAAAGGCAAAATTATAATAATTAAAATTTTTAAACTTAATTTTATTTATATTATGATAGGATGTGGAGACGGTGTGCACTCTGGGAGTTGGCACCGCTTTCGGGGAGTCAGGTATGTGTCCCTAATCTTAATGTTTGGCACTTTGTTTTGCAAATTTATTTATGAAGCGAATAATATGTGCAAATTATCATTTTATTAATTTTATACATCATCATTGATAAATAGTTTATCATATATTAGGAAATATTTACTAGAAAATATAAAAGTGTATATCCTAAATATACTGCACTGTATACTGCGGTATACTTACTGGTGATATTCCCATAGTTGATGATCCATTTCCACACTAATAGCCAGATATGTATCAAAAATAATCAAATGTTACGATTTTGTACAGAAAAGTCCACTTATATTACTCGCATAGAAAGTATAGCTAATATCATCTCATATGACATAAGCAACTCGTGTGTGACATAATGTGTATATTCATTGACACAGTGTTGGGCTCCGGGAGTCATTCCCATTCAATCGTAACCCAAGAGCCCTGTACTCTACTGAGAGTGAAACGGCTGGACTTCCAGGACCTGTGGAGCCAGAAGTCACATCTGATGCAAGAAATTGTGGCCAATTGTTACGATAGTAAGGCTGTGGTGGCGGCCGGTGGGGGTAAACTCAGGGAACAACAGTCGGGATCGCTGTCCGGTTCCAGAAAGGGATCCCTCGAGGAGGAGAGCAACCATATCAACGATTCTGTGGATAATTACCATAATATGTCGCTTATTAACACCGAAATACCCGAGAATGTAAGCAATGATTAATATTTTTAGTTATTTTTGTATAGTTTAATGGTTTTAAAAAGTTTGCGTATAGTGTTGAGTAGATTAGAGAAAATTTTAATTAGAGAGAGAGAGAGAGAGAGAGAGCTACTAATTAAACTTTTGTATAGAAGTTTTCATTTGAATTAGAGATTAATTTTGGCGATAAATATAATATGAAACAATGAGCAAAAGTTGTGCATTATTTTAATTACAATAGAAATATAAAACAAACAAATGGTTTGCTAATTATTGCATTTGTTATTTGTGTGCGAATTGCATACGATTTATGAATATTACATGAATGTGCATTTTTATGTTCAATGTTTGTTATTTGAAATGATAATAACAATAATAATGTTAAATACAATCAAATTCATGACCAGATTTATAGCACACACTCTCTCAACAGATGTGACCAATAATTGTATTATCATTTTGAAGGTTGAGAGAGAAAATGCGAGAGAGAGAGAGAGAGACTATATAAACTGGTTGCTTTTGTAAAGCAAATAGTTTTGAATTTGTGTTCAAAAATCGATAAACACAACTAAATTAAATAAATATAATGCAATCAAATAAAAGACTGGACTAAGAAAAATTTGAATTGCATTTGCATTTCACTGTAAAACACAAATTGCATTATAGTTTCCAATTGTCTAAAAATAAATCTCAATCTAATTATAAAAATCTTTTTGCGAGAGTTTTAAATTTTGTTGTATTTAAAAGACATAAAACTGAATAAATATTATTGTATTATAGATTTTTATTATAATAAACATTATTCAATTTATTTGAATATAGCATTATAATTATTAATAATTAACAAATTCTAGTATGCAGTACAATTACATTTGGTTATAATTATGTAATAGTTAATTAAGTTACTTTATCTCATTAACAGTAATTAATTTCCACAAATGAATAATTTATTTGTTGTTTATTTAGTTAATTAATAACTTTAAAAATTACCCTAAATTTTAGATTTTTAGAATTAATTTCTCTCTCTCTCTCTCTCTCTCTCTCTCAAAAATTTATAAAAATTAGTGTTATTTTAATTACAAAATGTTTTTACTTTAAACTCTTATATTTAATTACGATTAACGAAACTAATTCAAAAATTGACATCCAGGAGCCGATGTCACCACTATTTAGGGTGGGTTGGACTATACGCTCGGTGATCATGCACTCGACGCCTCAACTGATCCGGGATCGCAAATATCACTTACCATTGCCTACATTATATCACAAGTGTATCATCGGTTCGGAGCTCATCGACTGGATTCTGAACGTCACGACCAATACACCGGTTCGGGTGCACTCCCGGGGACAGGCGGCTGCCATGTGTCAGGTCCTACTCGAAGGACAGGTGCTCATCCAAGGTCTGTTTGTTTTTAGTATTTGTTTTGTTATGCTTTTTTAATAAATATTTACTTTTTATTAATTTTATATTTTTTGTTTGCTTGCAATGAGAGTTGACATAAAATTTAATTTAATTTATAACTATTTATAATTAATAAGTTGTTTATAAATATATAACTAATTACATTAATTTTGTGATTACTTGACGTGAAATTAATTTTAAAATATTTAATTTATTGCATTAAAAAGCAATAAAAAATATTTGACTTTAATAAATAGCTTAATAATAATTTATTAAATTAATTGAATTAATTCTACAAAAATTATCGCTAATTTCATGTAATGTACAAAAGTTTACGTTAAATATTGAGTTCAAATGAAAAGCAATTAATCATTTGTTAGTCAAACATACTCTACATCTCTATTCACATGTACTGTATGTATAACCAGAATATTCTTTGACACGAATAATACAGTGACGACAGAAAGTCAGTCAACAACTCCCGGCGCCGATGAAATTCAGCCCCAATTCCAGGACCGGTACCTTTTGTACCGATTCTGTTTCGACCAACAGATCGACGCCGTGGTCACCACCGAAGATAAACGGATAGCCGAGTCGGAGCTCATGCAATCCCTGTCCTCATTGGCACAGTTAGCGCCGGACGCCATACTCAGACTTATATTACGCAAGCCGTAAGTCATTAAACCCTTTCCACGCGTCTATCGAGAGATACCATTACTTTCTTACATGTCTTTACGGTATATGTCTTATCGGTTAACAAAAAAAGGCAAACATAAGTGTCAACAGAGAGACAGTGAAGTGCATTCAGAAAATGCTAAGATGACAGGGGGATGCCTATGGGGAACGACATGTCTGCACGAAAAAATAGCAAACATATAATTAGTTTAAAGTTTTTTTTGTACAAAAATAAAGTTAAGAATTTTTGAGACATTTACAAGTAATTACATTAAGTTCGGTGACACACTGTCACACACCTGTATATGTTATTCAATTATCTCTCCCTCACATCCCTGTCCACATATGTAGGCAAACAAAACAGATTATATATTTACTGTTTATATTAAAAGCGCTTCATATCAGAGAAAGTTTTATGAAAATGTTTATTAAGAGTTATAGAAAAGGGTTATATTTATAATGGTTTTGTGTGTTATCTCTATTGAAAGGCCGCAAAAGCGTACGGACGAGGAGATAGAGTCGGTGTTTGAAGAGCTCCTACACATCAAAGCGCTGTCACATCTGTCCAATTCAGTCAAGAAAGAGTTGGCAGCCGTTATCGCCTTCGAGTCCCACCTCAAGAAGGGAACCATTCGTTAGTATTGATTGTCTTGTTGTGGATTATCATCTCATATACCATCCTATAGTGATATCTATGACCTCAACATTAAGACCTTTCAGTATTATGTTGACACATAT